CTCTTGTGATAACCATAATACCCTATCATACATTGCTTTTAAATTATTAACTCCCTCATCTGTTTCAGTGCAGTATACACAATTTATACAGTTTTTCTCAGTCTTACCCCAACCCTGATATCAGTCTCATTTTACAGCAGTGGCATCATGCAGAATTTGTCCTTAGCAAAAGATTTTTATAAGAAGTTTCTAATAGCATAATTTTTTTACATGAAACAATTATATTTTTCTGTCTTTTTTTCTCTTTGCCTCTCATTACTCTTGGTTGATTTCAGATTATTTATATGGCTAGAAATGGCAAAGACTGTCTGGTATCCTACTATCATTTCTCAAGAATGACTAAATTGTTCCCTGACCCTGGTACCTGGGAGGAATTTATTGAGACATTCAAAGCTGGAAAAGGTAAATGAAAAGAAACAAAGAGTTTGAGTTTACATTATTTTACTCATTTATCTAATGACATCAGACATGAAGTTCTTTTATTGATAGATTTTGGAGGGAATTATACGGCATGCATAGGCTGAATTCTTTAAAGAGAGTTTAATAAAGATACTATCTACAAAGCTTTGGCAAATTTAAGGGAAAGAACAAGAGTAGTACAATAATTTAACAACTGCAGAGAGACATTGCTATCTGAAGACAGAAAAGGGTACCTTCACTCGAGCTGAGCCTTTGATAAATAGAAGCATTCAACTACAGTGAGCAATCAGGAGGAATAGGGGAGATACAGCATCCTTCCTCCCCTCACATTTACAAACTTCTAATACTTTTCACTGGAAGAACCTAGATATAAGCATTAAGTCATAGGACTCAAACTATACAGTGCCCATAGTTCACCTACAAAAGGTACAGTGCAACCTGGAACAGGATGGAAAGTGGATTTGGCAGGGCAATCAAATGCAGCTTGCTTTCTTCTATTTTTGTGGCAGACGACAAACATTTCCAAACACCTAATAGCCTTTCTGTAGCAAATATTTATTACATTGAATAGTAATACACACAAAAAAAGTTTATTAATACTTGTACACAAGACAATCATTCTTGAAAATGTTGAAAGGTAGGGATATAAGCTAAGGAATTTCAACAAACTTTATCATCTATCCTAAAATATCAAACCCCCTTCATCTTCAAAAAGGAAGAATTCTGTCTTAGTAATATGGTCATATTTAATAAATTTACATTCTCTTTCATAGGTTTTGAGATTTCAAGATTTTTTTAAACTATCAAATTGATATTTTCTGTGTTTTCTCCCTCTTTCCCTCAGTGCAGTGGGGCTCCTGGTACAACCATGTGAAGGGATGGTGGGCTGCAAAAGACAAGCACCACATTCTCTACCTGTTCTATGAAGACATGAAGGAGGTGAAGATCAATTTGGTCTCCATCAGATCTGCCCACATCCTCTGATACGACATAACCCAGGCAGAACACTGCATGCGGGCTTCCCTGAAAAAAGAACTTTGAGTGCAAGCTCTTCTTTCCAAACTTAAGTGTGGGGTTTTTTTCTTTTATTCTCATTTTAAATTTTCTAATTTTTTTTTATTTCAGTGTACAATGCTAGAAAATTTTTCCATAAACACATCTTACTGCTAATTATATGTATAACAGCAAATCAACCTGGTGGAACCTAACATTTATAAGTCAAATTCCTCCATCTGCAAAATTATTATAAAATCTATCTCATCAGATTATTGTAAGAATTTACCAAATGATGATGAGAAAAGCCTTGAATTCTTCTCCAATAATAAAGCATCGGTATAAATGGAAGTTTAGCCCACAAAAACATTAACAAGATTAGCCATAACGACATCGAGATGAATGGAGAGGAGATTCAAACTGTCATCAGCTTCAGCTTGCTTGGACCCATGATTGACATCCTTGGTACCAGTCGCCAGGAAATAACGAGATGTATTGCACTGGGGAAAATCTTCAGTTAGGAACTTCTCCAAATTATTGAGGAGTACTGATGTCAGTTTGAGGGCTAAGCTGCATCTGATTCGGGCTATAGTCTTTGCTATTACTTATTATGCATCTGAGGGTTGAAAAATAAATGAGGATTACAGAACATGAGTTGACACCTTTCAGCTGTGGTATTGGAGAAGAGCACTGAACATCCCATACGCAGCCAAGAAACAAACAAATATGTCTCAGAGAGGGTGAGCTGAAGTGCTCTTTGGAGTCAAGAATGATAAGCCTTCACCACACACTTTAGGCATATTGCTAGGAGTGGTTATTCTTTGGAGAGAGACATGAGGTTGGGAAGGGTGGAGGGTCGGCAAAGAAGAGGAAGACCCATGACCAGGTGATTAGACACAGTGACTGCTGGAATAATGAGCACTTCGGTGACAAGAAGTGTGAGGATGGCACAAGATAGCACAGTGTTCAGATCTGTCGTTGATAGGGTCGCTAGGAGTTGTACTCTACTCAACAGCACCTAACAACAACATTGCAACAGGGAGCTGATTTCTTTATTTCAAATTATGGTAATTAAGTGGCATTATAAGTTTACTTTCAAGCTGCGGTGAATAAATGTCCTAAAATTTAAAAAGTGCCTACTGGCTTTATGCTGAAGTCGTTGGCGCTCCGGTCCCAGTCTCATCTGGGAGCGGGCTGTGGGCGGCCTTGAGCTCACCGTACCCTGAAATTCCAACGCGCTCACACCTTCGGAGAGTGCCAGGACAGTCTGTATGCAGCACAGATCATCCAAGACGCTGGGCTGTATGAGGAGGAATGTGGCATCAGGATTGGTTGAAGAATCATCAACAACCTACGGTTGTGCAGATGACACAACACTGCTTGCTGAAACTGAGGAGGACCTGAAGCGCTTGCTGCAGAAAGTCAAGGACTGCAGTCTTCAATATGGATTGAAGCTC